GGCGCTGTGGAGCAGGCCGGCCTGTCAGCGCCCCGGTTTCTGCAGGGATGGCGGAGGCCGCGGGGGGTGCCCTAAGTGGCCGCGTGAGGGCTGGACAGGGAGTCGCCTCAGCATCTCAGGCGTGTCCGGCTCCGCCGCCCCAGGACGTCGTCTCCGCCTCCAGCTGGGGACCTGCCCCCACCCCGCATCCAACACCACAGTCGCAGGGCCACGGGAGTTACTGTGTGTGTGTGTGTGTGTGTGTGTGTGTGTAGAGGCTTGGGGTCATTCGCCCAGGTAGGAGTAAACAGAAAGGGCTAGCGTGGAAGCCGACCCCTGAGAGACAGCTCCGAAGCTGTGCCCTAAACACGTCATGGGGCTGGTGCGTCGTCCCCCGTGAGGCCAGGGGGTCACCTTTGAGGGCGCCCCGGGAAACTGCCTTCGCCACCCCAGCAGCCGCAGGAGCGTCGCCCGGTCCTGGCGGGCGCCTCCCACAGCCGTCTGGAGCCACTCTGACCTTCGGGGCGCTCTAAAGGTTTTTGAAGCAGCTTGCTGGGGAGGGGGCCTGGCCCGCCTCCTTCGGCCTCGCTGGCCCTGCAGTTCTCGAGCCCCTCTGGCGAAAGGGGCTCGGCCAAGCTTCCTCCCTGGCTGGCGGGCCTGGGGCGCTTCTGGGCTCCGTCCCCAGTTAAGCTCGGGATCCGTGGCCCCAATGGCCCACGCAAAGCCGGAGGTTTGCCGCAGTACGCAGGCCCGCCCCTGGCCTTCCCTCCCGGCGGAAGGCTGGGAGCGGTGGAGCCCCGCTGCTGCGGCGCCTCAGTCGGCTCAGTCAGCGCCTGTGAGCACGTGGGTCGCGTCTGTCGCCGGCCTGCAGTCCTGGAGCCGAGGCTTGGAGACGGAACGAAGCTCGAAGGCCCCGAGCACCGGTGCTCGGCCGGGAGTGAGGCGCCACGGCCGGGGCCTGCTGAGCGCCTTCTGCCTGCTGCTAGTTGACTTGAGGGGTTTTTTTTTTTTCTTCTGGTGATTTTGGATGCAACATCAGTCGCTCATCATTTGAGGTTCAGGTTCTGAACCTCACTTTTTCTCAAAATCAGTTTCAAGGAGCATGAACACAGAGGAAAGGTCCCCTCTGTCCCCTCAGGCTCCACGCCAGTCCGTGCGTCGTCCGAGAGGAGGAGGCCCGTGGCCTGCTTGCCGTGGAGTGAGACGGAAGGGTGTCGTGCGAGTGTGAGAGGTGTGTGCGGCGTGGTGAGCGTGTGCGGTGGGGTGCGCTGTGAGTCTGTGTGCGTGCCCTGTGCGTGCCGTGTGTCCTGTGC